CAGAATTTGATTCAGCATCCAAAACCCCTAACGGAACAAAAAAAAAAACCAAAAATCAGCAGAGTGAGCTAAAATATCAAAGAAAACCACTGCAGTACTTGAGGGTTTTAACATTCACCTAGTGCAATTTCTTTCCTAAATTTCCTCATTCAGCAAAAAAAACAGCATTAATGTTCGGGGAAAAAAAAAATTACCGGTGGTATTTGAAACTGCAAGCACCGACATCACCTACGCGATTGATTGAGAGCACTCGTCCCGTCAGATCTGTGAGATTGCAAGCAAATAAACGGCGAGATCACACTCTAATTGAGCAAAGAACCCAAACGGACGGACGGAAAGCATATAACACTATAAGCAAAATCCATTTGGCAAAAACAGAGAAGGAGGCTCCAAGGGTGGAGATATTATCATAAGAATTGGAACTCGGCGTTGATAACTCAGAGCAAAACACTCCATTAATGAGTTAACTCGAAGAGGAGAGATGATTGAACTGGAGGCTTCAGAAGGAAGGGAAACGGCAGACACTTTTTATGACTGTTTTGGCGGAGAATACCGATTTGTTTTCTTTCACTCTGCAATCAGTAGCACAGTACTGGAGAAGCCTTTTTTTTAAGATATTTTCCTTTATATATATATATAGGAAAATATTTGTTTTGGATAATTTTGAGACGTTTTTTCTGCCCGTCGAGTGAAGAAAAAAGCGGAGAAGGGCACGCACGGACTTTTTCATAATGTCCAGCGAGCGCCGCTGACGGAAAAGTACAAGCTAACGGTTAAAAAAGAAGAGGATATTTGTTTCACGACTGGCATGATATGACCGCAGGAAGGCAAGATTTGTTGGAATTAAATTTGAAAATCTAGAAAAAAAAATGTAGAAATGAGATTTTCCAGGACTTGTTTGTGTGTTTGATAATATAATATAATGCAGGTTTTTTGTAAATATTTTTTAAATTAAATTATAATATTTAAGTTTTTTTTATAATTTTAATATTAATATGTCAAAATTATTTAATAACATAAAAATATTAATTTAATGATTTTTCTTCCACCATGCTTTCCGAACTCCTCTCGATTAAATTTCAATTATATTTAAATTTTTAATAGAATTCCAATTATATAGACACGTAGGGAGCAGATGCTTCAAGTGGGCTAAAGATATTTAATAGAATTCCAATTATATATTCCAATTTAAATTCCAATATTTAAATTATCAAAAAATTTAAATTTCAATTATTTTTTATTTCCCGATTACAAGTGGGCTAAAGATAGTTTTGACTCGTAGGGAGCAGATGCTTCCAAGCGTCTTACCGCTAATCTTTGCTCTTTCACTGTCATTAATCACGTGGCAATAGCAATTACCAGTAATCTCGAGAGTATTTCAATCTCACCAGTCACCACCAACAGAACAAGTTCTTGCGTGTAATTTTTTTTTAGTATTTTTCTTGTTTTTTTATATTAATTAATCAAAATTATAAAAAAATAATAATTTAATTTTTTTTCATATTAAACACGTTGACCACCAAAACAAATTGCGACTTTGACAATGACGGTCTGCGGGTTTGGGAATGCTCGTAAGCGAGGCTCCGCCGCACGTTGGCAGAATATATTTGTAAACCACATGTCAATGCAAGATCTGTACACGTTCGTTGAGATATGACAAACGACACACCAGCCCTACAAATCAGGGACTACTTTTAACTTTTACCGTGCTGTGTACTCCCGGCTGCCTCCCACGTGTCATTTTCTTCATACCATTTTACCTGAAGATTATTATATCAATTCGAGAAGGAATTTTTCTTAAAGCCCTGCATGGACTAATTTATATATTTTTTTATTAATTTTTTAAAATTGTAAAGTTAATAAATATATAAATTTTAATAGTTTTGAATTGATAATTTTTTAAAAATAAATTTAAAATTTAATCAGTTAAATTATACCTTTTAAAATTAAAAAAATATAATTTTTTTATTTTTATAGAAGGCGGCGAATTTCTATTTCTATATGTTTTAATTATTAATATTACTAATCAAGCTTGGAAGGTACACAAACGAGACGCATGGAATTGGGACTTGCGACGGGTTGCTCAAGTACACAAACGGGACTCTCAAAAGCGGCACTTCGTGTGATTGCTCAAATTGCTCGTGAAGGGGAAATCCCGATAATAATCTTCGTTTTCTTAATGAATATTTAAGAATAAATATAATTTATAGGCACACTTAGCTCTCCTGTGGGATTGTTGTCAAAACAGAATTTAAGTCAGAATTTAAATAATTTTTTTACTAGAATTATTTTTTATATTAATATTAAAAATAATTTTTTAAATATATTTTTAATATATTTTTAAATAAAAATAATTTAAAAAATAAACACTATTATTCTAAAGTACAAGGGAGAAGACAGTAGGTTTTTTCTCTCCTTTTTTTTGGGTGAAATATATTATGTGATTCGGTTGCATGTGATGATAGCGGCCAGTTCAGATGACCCTGCGCAATCGCCCATGCATTCCCAGGAGATCATGCTGTCTGTGAAAGCGTTGCTGGAATTATGGGCGATATCATGTCACCTTGCACCTAACTCTGCACGCACCTACCATCTCCTCGTGCATTTTATTTTAATTCTAATTTTTAACTACGTCCATCATTCTCCACCTCATGACCTCTCTCCCCCGGTGATTCATTTTATTTATTTTCAAAACAACAGACGGATTGTTAACCTGCCATTACCAAAAACAACATTGAAGACAACAAATGAGCAACTGTTTGTTATTGCAGGACAAAGAACAATAAAAATAATTCCAAGGGCAGCGTTGATTATAGCGATTATTTTTAATTTAATTTGATTTTTATTTAAAAAAAATAACTAAATTAATTAAAAAACAAAATCAAACTGAAACTGGTTTAAACTGATAAGTTTCAGTTCGGTTATTTTAAAATAAAAATCAAAACTCAAACTGATTGTTTTACAATCGGTTTGGTTTTGGTTCTATTTAGTTATCTTTTATCAAAAATAAAAAATTATATTGTTTTTGGAGATGTTTTTTGTAATTTTTAATAGGTTTTGTGTCAATTTGACTAGAATTTTTTATTTAACTCGGTTTTTTGGTTTGGTTTTTTATTAATTTTGATTTGGTTTAGTTTGGTTTAATTTTTTGATTTTAAATTTATAAAATTAAATTGAACCAGTTGGTTTTTTAAAATATTCTAATATGTATTTTTTTAAAGTTCAGTTTCTTTTTTTGGTTCACTGATTGGTTTTTTAAGATATTCTAATTGTTTCTTTTATAGTTTAGTTTTTTTAATTATTTATTATTTATTTTGATTTAATTAATTTTTCAATTATGATGCGTGTCAACATTGTAGGTCCAGCGCCAAGCTGAACGGTTTGATTAAACATAAGAAGACCGAGATTAAGCTAAAATGGTCGAGCCCAATTGGTAATAATCATGATAAACAAGCCCAAATTCAACCTAAGCAAGCCTATCCGCCCAATACGTCAGCTTGAGAACTTGCTGGAAAGGGGCTGTTTTAAAATATGCTCGGTCCAGAGTAACCAATTACCTTAACAAATGGCTAGAATTTACCTCGACCAGTTTAGATTATTTTTTTTTTGGTGGAAAGTTCCAGCCAGGTGATTGACATTGAAGAAATCCTTTTGTCAAGCGTTTCAAATGACAAGCAATTTTTCAGTGGTGAAATACAGTCCGCTCGATGAGTGAATAAACTGTAGGGTCCCTGACCATTTTGTTACGACACAAAGTGAGAAGAAACAAACAAGTCATCGCCAATGCGTTCGATGATTTCGTGCAAAAAGATGATAATACATATAAAAAAGTATGGGGCAGCAGCCATGGTTGAGTTGTGAAGATTTCAACATCTGGCGTCGGTTGAAGACGAGAGTTTTGGTTGTATATATAATATGAGAGTCTCTTTTCTTTTTGAGAGGTCACTTTTCAATGATATAATTTATTATATGGTTGAACTCATGTAAGTTGGAAAAATATCATTGAAGGGCTTATTACATTTTGATGTGGATAAACATTATCATTAATGCTAAGTGATGCTATTTGTGAGAATATAGTGATATTGTGCTATACAACCCCTTCAACTAGAAAGTTACGATGATGTCATTATTTTATATCGGTTTAGAAACAAGAATTTTAATTGTTTATATAATACAAGGATCTTCTCTATTTCTAAAAAACATTTTTTTAATAATAAAATTTATTATATAACTAAATTCTTGTTAACTGAAATAATATTCTTTAAAAAATTTATTGTGTGGGGGTATAAACACATATTCTGATTGACTTTATTTGTAAATATGAACATACATCATTATTCACTCTGTACACAAGCCTTTCAACTAGGATATTATGATATCATCATCTTATATCAATTTAAAAATAAGAATTTTAGTTGTATATATAGCATGAGAGTCTTTTCTATCTCTAAAAAATATTTTTTTTAATGATAAAACTTATTATATAACTGAATTCATGTTAAATAAAATAGTATTCTTTAAAAAATCTACCGTATATAAGTGTAAATACATATTCTGATTGGTTCTATTTGTAAACATGAACACGCATTATTATTGGCTCTTGTTATAAAAACAATAGACATGTTATGCTGCCCAATCTTATCACTTTAAAGACTATAACGATACAGACATGTCATATTAACTAAGAAGAGAGAATCTTAATTGCTTATATAGTATACGAGTTTCTTCTCTTTTTTAATAGTTATCTTTTAATTTATTATACAGTTAAATTCATATTAATTATGACAATATCTCTTAAAAAAGTTATCATATCCAACACAAATTAATTTTGATGTCATATATAGTAACATTAATAGTACAATCCTACCAAAAAAAATTTAGGTAATTTTTTTTAGTGTACGTAAGAACAGAAAAAAAAAACAAAAACAAAAACATAATAGAAGTAAACTGAACCCAGGAATTTTCCGGTGCTAATAATATTTTATTATTTATTTAAAAAAAATTAAAATAAAACCACCTAAAATTTCCTTCGAGAAACCCTACTAAAACCCTTTCTCGAGAGAGAGAACGCTTTAATTAACAGTGAATCTAAGTACATGACGAGGATTCCAAGTCATCTGTTATGGAAGGGATCATGGGTGGTGCGGCAGCTATGCACGGCGGCAGAGGCGGTGCCTGTAGCGCTGGAAAAACGGAAGAGGCTGTACAAGAGGTTGTCGGAACTAGGGGCAAGCGGCGGGAGCGTGTCAAAGACGTTAAATGATTTCGTGTTGGAAGGCGGAAAAACAAACAAAGTCGATCTCCTTGCTTGCATCAGAGAGCTCCGCAAGTACGGCAGGTTCGACTATGCCATTGAGGTCCATCTGTCTGTCTCTGTTTCATTTGTCAAATCTCTTGATTTTTTCACGTCCCCAGGGCCCTTGATTCACCTTTGAGGCTAAGGGTTGCTAGCTTATTTGTTAAATTTTTTTCCAATCTAATTTTAGACTAAGATTTGGGTGTATTGATATACCGATGCCTGCATTTATAACCCAAATTGGAAAAGTAACGCGAGTACTTGGAATGTCATTGAATCCAGCAATAAATATGGCTATAGCCCATAGCTATGAATGAATGAATATTTTGTTTCTAGGAATCCACATATCACCACGAGACAAGTGTTTTGGTTGGGCAACCATGATTGCTTGTTTCTTGTAATTGAGATATGAAAACAATGTGCTGTCTATTTGTACTCATCAAATTGCGCAAAAAAGTTGCTTTGGCTATTTTATTTTTGTTTCCTAGTTGTGCTCTAGTTTTGCAAGCTATGCGTCTTCTTTCTTTGTTTCCTCTATTCTTTGAGTTGATTGGGATCGCTTTGATTTGTGTCATACAGGTAATGGAGTGGATGCAGAAGAGGAAAATGAACGTTTCCCATGCAGTTTACCTAGATCTTATAGCAAAGACCAAAGGGATAGCTGCAGCCGAGAATTATTTTGACAACCTCTCACCATCTGAGCAAAATCATTCAACTCATGGAGCGCTTCTGAGCTGTTACTGCAGGGAACTTATGTCTGAAAAGGCACTGACTCTTTTTGAAAAAATGGACAAGATGAAGTTTCTTTCAACTTCTTTGCCTTTTAACAATCTCATTAGCCTACATTTGAGATTGGACCAACCTGAGAAGGTGCTTCCCATTGTACAAGAGATGAAGCAGAAAGGCATATCTCCATGTACCTTCACTTATAACATGTGGATGCAGAGCTATGGATGCTTAAATGATTTTGAGGGGGTAGAGAGAGTTCTAGATGAGATGAAAATGGATGGTCAAAAAAACTTTTCTTGGACTACATACACTAACCTTGCTACAATCTATGTCAAGGCTGGGCATTTTGACAAAGCTGAATCGGCTCTCAAAAAGGTAGAGGAACAGATAGAACGTGGACGTGAAATTAAGAAAAAACGCAGACAAGGTGATTACCGTGAAGCTTATCATTTTCTGATTACCCTTTATGCTGGCACTTCTAACCTAGGTGAGGTCAATCGGGTGTGGAATTCCCTAAAGTCGAACTTCCACACAACAACCAATGTTAGTTACCTTACCATGCTTCACACTCTTGCTAAGTTAAAAGATGTTGAGGGTCTACTGAAGTGTTTTAAGGAGTGGGAGTCCAGTTGCCACAGTTATGATATGAGGTTAGCAAATGTTGCTATAAGAGCCTGCCTAGAGCATGACATGTATGAAGAAGCTGCATTAATATTTGATAATGCTCTTAAGAGGACCGAAGGATTGTTCTTTAATGCCCGAGAGATGTTCATGGTTTTCTTCTTGAAGAACCATCAACTGGATTTGGCTCTGAAGCACATGAAAGCTGCTTTTTCCGAAGTCAAAGAGATTGAATGGCAACCAGAGCCAAAAACAGTGAGTGCATTTTTTGCTTATTTTGAAGATGAGAAAGATGTTAATGGTGCTGAGAGACTATGTAAGATTTTGAAGCACATCAATCGTCTTGACTCAAATGCTTACGATTTGTTGCTGAAGACTTACATAGCTGCTGGCAATTTGGCCCCAGAGATGCGGCAGAGGTTGGAAGAAGATGGAATTGAAATAAACCCCGAGCTTGAGAACTTGCTTGAAAGGGTCTGCCCTAAATAGGTCCAGGTCTGGAACATGCAAACAAAAACTTTAGACCCTTCCAATGAGTAACAATTTGAATTTGATATTGAAGGTATCCATATGCTAAGCATTTCAAATGACAGGAAATCTTTAATTTCAGGAACAAAATCCAGTTGATGTAATTATGTGTATAAATAATTACCAATCACATATTTGATAAAGTAATGCTAATCTTGCATAATAGTCTTAAAGAATTTATTTACCGAAAAAATAACAACAGTTGGATGGATATCTTTAGACAGTAAGTGAATTTCATCTACGAATCTCATGAATCCTGTGGTTGATATTTGACTTGCTACCGTCCATGCATCAATAAAAATTCCTAACTTTATTTGAGTTTAATGGAGTGGAGTTTACCAACATTATCCATCATGTTATCAATAACATTATGGAACCAAATGCGGCAAAATCAGTCTCTTTAATTGTTCCAAGTAAAATTACATCCCATTCTTTATACATTGTAAAATTGTTGTATTATCCAGCGTGAGAAATAAAATCACTAGAATAGAGCTGGCTCGCTATACATGCTAATTTAATAGCTTGAACCAATTCATGGTGGCACCTCTAATGGAATGACTCGTCCCTAAATGCACTGCTGTCCCCATGGCAAGTTTGGCTGGAAAAATGCGATGCAGGATGGACGAACCCTAAATGCTCTACCTCTCCTTGTCGCAAGTTTGGCTGGTAAAATGCAATGTGGGATGGACGACTAAAGCAACATGGAAAAGCTTCGGATTTGTAGGTCAGCTTTTAGACTTTCTGTTTCATGGTCACATCTACATGAGATTTAGGTTGATAGTGCTCATCTGTATCCACCTCTTCAATTTCCTGGCAAACAAACTGTTACGACTGAAGATCTTGCATGAATTAGTAAGGAAATAAGCTCCTGAGCAATAACCCAACAGATGGACACAGATAATCCATGTGTTTCTGGGTTCTGCAAAAGCAATTGCCCCCACAGTAGTATCTTCAAAATATTGGCCACTACAACTCAGTAACATTTCCTGGTATTGGTAGTGTAATGCTTTTTATGTGAAAATGGAAACAACTACTAAAAATTCCAAAACCTGTTTTTCAACATAGTTTTATTCAAAATACCTATAAAACATCTTAAAAAACATATAAATATATTCATAACTTTAAAAAACCACTCTAAGAACCAAATTTAACCCAAAATAAAAAATTAATAAGAACCCAAATCAGTTTTTTATGAACTTTTAAATATAAAAAAACCTAATATAAATATAAACTCTCCTCATAAAATTTAGAGGTCATTATCCAATTATGATCCACAAGGTTCTTGGAGGGATAGCTAAGAAACATCTTTTCCGTGTTTTTTAATTAAAGCCATGCTTGTTTCTTGGAAAATAGTTTCTGGGAATCATTTTTCAAACTTTCCTGTGTTTATTTGTCATTAGGAAAGTTGGTCAATGAAAAATATTTTCCAGTCAACAAAAAACATTTTCCAGTCAACGGAAAACACTTTTCGGTTAACAAAAAACACTTTCTGGTCAACGAAAAATATTTTTCAGTCAAAGAAAAAATTGGCTTGGTTTTCAAGAAAGTGTTTTCCTTTTTAGCTGTATTTGTTTTTCGGAAAGTGATTTCCGAAAAAACACTTTCCAAACTTTCTTTTGTTTGTTTGTTGTTAAGAAAGTTGGTAAACGGAAAACACTTTCCAATTAAAGGAAAATTTGGCTTGATTTTCAGGAAAGTGTTTTCCTGAAAAATTTGGGAGGAAAACACTTTCCGAAAGTTGTGAAAAATTTAAAAATATCATTATTTGCTGATTATATCAAATTTGATCCTCAAACTTTTGATTGCTATATATATTTTGTTTTGAATATTTATTTTTCAATTTAATTTCTTAAAATTTAATTTTTATATTAACTTTGGTCTTCATTTTTATAATTGTTATTTGTTTTTCTCCTATTATTTTTTTATTAAAATTTTTTTTCTATCAAATTTGATCTTCATTTTTTTATTGTTATTTATTTTATTTGAAATACTTTATGAAATGTTAATTATTATTATTTTAATTTCTTCATCTTTTTTTTAGATTTGATCTTTATTATTTTGATTATTATTTATTTATTTTTTCAATTTTATTAGTATTCAACTTTTTAATTTGTAAAATTTATTCCTTATTATTTTAATAAACTTGAGAAAAATAAAATATTAATAAATTATTTTCCAGTTTATTTTCCATAACATAACCAAACACTGGAAAGTGTTTTCCAATTTATTTTTCATAACATTATCAAACATCAAAAAATACTTTACTTTTCAGGAATTATTTTTATCTGAAATTCACTTTTTTAAAATTTACTTTTAAAAAAAAATAATTTTCCTCCAAATAAAAGAAGCCTACACAGAGCCTAAGTGACAGCTCTCAAGACCCGGATTGACACCATTATAGTAGCAAATTGACACCATTATAGTAGCAAGCCCACAAATTTTAGCATATCACAAGAATGGCCCCTCTATATTTCAAACTTCAAAGAAAAACCCCATAAAAGAGTCATAATTATCATAAAACATTTCCTAAACCAAATGATGCTGTCTTAATTCTGGCAACGCGAGAATCCGCTCAATTACAGAACTACATCAAGCATAATAGCAGAAAAAAAGAAAAGGAAAGATGCACAGTCTAACCTGATAATCAACACATTGCATTTCCACAATGAAAAAATATTTTAGCCAACGTGCGTGCAGAAAAATAGAGATCCAAATCCAAGTAGTTTGGGGCATCCAAACTGTAAATCATCATCAAATATTACAGCACAAAGGATAAATCATCAAACTTTGAACTTGACATACCTTAGCGACCAGTTTTTATACGTAGAATATAAGAAAAATACAGTTAATATAAAAATGAAGCAGCATGAGAGAATAGTAGCGAAGCTCATTCGACTCGGCGCTTTCTTCTTCTTGCTCTGTTTCAGCAGAGCTTGAGGCTTGATCCTTCCCATCTCCTACTACCTATACTCCAAATCTGCAAGACTTGCACACAATTACTGAATATCATTAGTCTACTCAAATTTCACCAATTATTGAACTTTGAATTCCAAATTTGTTTAGCATAAATTGGTCAACGGTAACTAAGATCTAAAGAGATTCATGCTAATAAATAAATCGAATCAAAAGAGAGGGATTGAGAGAGAGAGAGAGCGCGGAAGTACCTGTTTGAGAGGTGAGTTGACGTGTGTGTGGAAGTACCTGTTTGAGAGGTGAGTTGACTGCTTTCTTTCTGATTGATAGGTACTGCATTTGATTTTAAGTTTATTTCATGTTTTTTCAGCAGGTTCTTATTTGGGCCAAAATGATAGATGGGCCCAAATGATTTTCGGCCTCCTTTTGTTGGATTCGGGAATTTGGTCTTTTTATGGGATCCGGCGTTACACTTATTTGAAACTGCATGGACCATAAATTCCTGTAACACGCTTTATGTCCTCTCTCAGTTTTCACTCTGCTTAGAGAGATTAATTTTCTGCGAGTCTTAACTTGCCTTCCTCTGGACCATCTAACTGGATAGCAGTGTAGTGTCTTGAATCATGCACAACCGCTCCGTCTCTATACCATCTCAATAGAGCCCTAGATCTCCTTCCGCTGCATCATATAAAATAACACATTTATCAACGCATTAATTATAGTAATTACGAATTAGCTTTCCTTAATTTAAAACTCAAATATAGAATTACCTTTCGTGCAAACCTAGAGGAAGGTGAAATCCCCAAAACCTAGCCATGGTGAAGCGTTTGGCGTGCCAGACATGAGTTATCGATCTCGTGGTGCCATCTCCAGAAGTGGCAAAACCAATTCCTGGATTCTTTTTTGAAGTTCAATTTGCCAGCAAACTCGGCGAGGGACTTTATCGAAGCCGGATCCAGGTCATCTGTTGCTTTAGCAGACAGTCCTAATTTCCTCTTTCTAGGTCTCTATTTTGCAGCTTGATTGTTTTAAGCAGTGGTTATTCTTTTCTTGTTTCTTAGAGATCGGAAATTATCGTTTATTCGGTTTGATACGATTAAGTGGAGACTCTCGAGTTCAGGCGCTCTGTTTTCTGCAAATTTTTTAACATTCATTTTTCGAGGGGGAGCTGTTGATACTTGAGATTTTTTGCTTCCATCACCAGCCATTGCAACCTGATTCTCAAAAGAAACGCGCATCTGCAGATTATGCCATCGCTCGCTGTATAAGCTTTGGATTATTTACAGTTTGCCTGTGGTTTTTACTTTTTAGGGTTAGTTACTGTTCTTACTTGTCACAGCGCGCGGCACCTGGACACAAAGGGAGGATGAGCAGAAGAGGACGCGCCGTTTGTTTCTGGTGGCATTGCGGTCCTTTTCATAAAATAAAATAAAAAATGATTTAAAAAAAATTAAATCAATATTTTTTTAATATTTTTGTATGTTTTGATTTATTGATATTATAAAATAAAAAATATATATCATTTTAATATATTTTTAAATAAAAAGTATTTGAAAAGCTTTAGAATTTTAATTTTTTTCTGAATATCACATAGGTTTTATAGAAGGTTAGTTCCTGGACGGTAAATACCCTCAGTTAAAACCCGTTTTCTCATTATGCATTTTTCCAACCAGGTCGTCAAACTCAAACTCAAAACCAGCTGTCTATCTAATAGAGAGCGTTGTTAACCTGGGACTTGTGCGCCGGTACTTCAAAAACCAAAAGGCTGGTGTATTGCACACGCAATCAAGAAGCAAAATACATACAGCATCAGTTAAAGAATATCCAAAAAGAAAAAGAAAGTGATAAAACACATCATAAAGGTTTTAATAAACTACCAATTGAGTTAATAATAAATAAATAAAAAATCTATCGATGTAGGTAGTGATCGAAGTACAGACAAAGATGCGGTAGTGATCGAAGTACAGACAAAGTAGTACAGTTCTCAATTACGGTACGCTCACCGAGCCCCATTGCTGGCCTAAAGATTTCCCATGGTTTCATAGGGTTCATTCCGGGATCTAGTTGCTGCTCTATATCCCACAAAAACAGAGAGACATATAGAGACAACTGAGAATAGAAGGGCAAAGGCACTGGCAACATCTCCTGAGCTGCCTGTTGTAGATGCCTTCAGCATAGAACTGCCTGGAGAGATGTCCAGGGGTATCCAATGACAGTTGACAGAATAGTGACCAGATCCATGCCATGAATTCCCGTCAACTGGATACCAGAATGCCACAGCCATCTTGCTAGATCCACCAATTGTAAACTGAGCATCCTGCAGAAATTAGAGAAAGCAGCTCATTCAGAACCTCTTGCTGCAAGGTAATATTTTCAACCACAAACCTATGCAACAATCAAACAGTATGAGTTCCAATATGTATCCTTGAATCCTTTCCGATTCAAGTCTTGATGTTGGGAGCAAAGCTCAATAACGAGCATGGTGAGAAGTTAGTATCAAACTGCAGATATCCTCTCTAAGCACACGTGATATCATTATCATGCCACAATGGCGATGAAATAGAATCAAGGTTATGCTACTAGACTTGATAATCACCATTCAGGCCATGGTACTCTCTGTCTCTCTCTTTTTTTAGAAGACATGATAACCCTCTTTAACAAAAAGCGAGTGAGGAAAACATGGTGTAAGTGATATCAAAACATGGATTAAAACATTCACTGAAATTGATTAAAGCGAACTACTATAAAATTTCTTATATTCAAGCCCAAGGGTAACCAAATATCTGAATATCATGGATGGGTTTCTAACCTGTTGGAGACGATCCATGGTTCTTAAAGGCCGAGAGAATTCAAAGAAATACGTTCCCTTCTGACTATCTGGTGTATAAGGACTGTCTTCCTCTACAAAACCTGTTAGCAAAATATTAAAATCAAATTTCAAAGGAGAAAGATGCAGATATTGTCAAAGCATACAAGATGAATATGGATATAAAGGCAGATCATAACCCACAATTTGAGACTAAAACAGCAGGCTGCACAAAAATGGTGATACGGAACCAAATTGAACTTACTGTGTCTTAGAGGCAATTTTCTTAAGAAATAGATCAATTCAATTCCTTTCCAATTTCAAGTTCCCTTTTCACAGCACAGATTTTGATGCATGGCTCCTTAAGCACCATCTTTAATCATACAAAATAGAAACTCATGTGATTGGGTATTGAAAACATGATTAATCTAGCCTAGAGCGAATTTGTACAAGGCACAATATTGACGTGTGTTTAACAAAGCTGATCACGCTTCTTGTACGAGTCACATTCTTTTTCTTAATTGTACAACAAAGCTGCATGGATTTCTCGGCATGTTAAAGCTATACGTGTTCTCAATTTGTTACCACGGATATCAACAACAATAGGTAGAAGAACAAAGTTTTGAAAACCAAACAAAGGAAGAAAAAAAAAGGGCAATCACCTGAGAAAACATTGAAGCTACTGTGCCACCATGCCCCTTTCCAGTTATTCTGACCAATAGAATCATTTCCTGAAAAACAGATTGGTTAATACATGCTCACCATTAGAAAGGTTGGCTTGAAATAACCAAACATGCAAGCTAAGAAATGAATAGCAAACATTGTTAAAATGGATAACAACCAGCATCAGAAATTGAATTCGTAAGTTTGGATTTGTGGTTAGCTTAACAAAGTGTACATCTGAAGAAAGAAATGATCCCCATACGCATAAGATATGCTTCTGAAAGCCCAAGAAAGTGGGCTTGGTAAATTATTACAAAGACTCATAGCAAATCATCCGCCACAATAGGTAGTGCTCCTAGGACCAATTCTAGTTGAACAAGATGAGCTAGATCTTAAAATAGCATAGAGGCTCATGATTATCAATATCTCCCCACCACTTCTTTACAGAGCCTGTAAAAAAATTTGTGAGAGACATTTACATTTCCTCCTGGGAAGAGAAAATAAGAAAACTAACAAATTGAAAGTTTGAACACTAAGGATCAAATTGGTGTTAAGACTGTTTTGACTTCTTTTTTCCAAAAAGTTTATCATAACTAATTTTGTGAGGTAAAAAGACTTCTGTAGGGCAACGGGGTTACCAAACATCTTAATTCTAGAATGGTGATTCAATAGTTACATGATCACCACAAGTGCCAAACAAGTACAAGTTATCTTCATATGGAGCATTTAAGGCCATGTCTGGTCAGGAACCATGAGTGTGGTTTTGAGAAGTGAAACACTCTGATCATGCATATCAAATCATAATAGAACATACTACTACAGAAAATGCACAACAATGGCTGAAGCTATAGCAAGTTGTACAGTTCCCATTCTGCGTCTTTTTGTTATTGGTTTGATAGGGACTGGTATTTTAATTATCAACTTTTACTCTTCTATCCAAAATAGTTTAAGGTTTAATCTCATTTGAGAATAAGATATTTGACAGGTTGGAGAAGGAAGATGTTGGTAGTCAAGCTAACTGATAATAGGATTTCGAAGGAATTTACTAAGAAGTCACAAGTCCAGCACAATAAACCATAACAATTATGAATTAGAGACATGGTGAAAACTAAGAAGAAACAAGTGATCTGACTAAAAGTGTAAGGATCTTAAACATAGAATGACGGCTGCAAAAACAAGTGCAAAGGCAATGGGAAAATATTTTCCATAGAATAAAGGGTTCTTTATACCAAAGTTGATACAGTTAATTATTAGTGTTAGTAGACAGAAAGGAAGGGAGAATTGTAAGCTCCACTTAGCAAGGGGAGCAATCTCAAGTTTGAGCCTAGGACGGTCCGTCTTAGAAAGGTGCAGCCATTGAATTACACAATGGTTAGAGTGACAGGAGTTTAGTAGGATAGGATGGAAAGCATTACGGTGCATAATGGAAGACAAGAATTTAAGATGCATACATCAGTGGATGTCCTTGGAGAATAGGTAGCACTGAGGATGAAGTGGTTGACATATCGAGATCTTTGCAAAGGTCTTAAGGTGAGTGTCAATATCAACAGAGCATGAAATGGACAGCTTCATAAAAAGAAAGCTTTGATTTTGGAAGAGCATGTAATGAATTCTAAGCCACCTTGACTGTGCTCCTTCTAATCACTTTGGTTAGTGCTTCATCCCACTTTCCTTTTTTTCCCCTTTAAAGGCAGTTCCATCATTTTCATATCATGCAAGCATACCTTTTTCACCCAATTGACAATTAAAACTGAATAGTTAATTCAAGAAGTACCTGAAGGACCAGTGCCATCAAGGTATCTACAGTGTGGATTCCAAGAATAGAGATCAACCAAATGACCAAACCTGTTCAGAAGTAAGAATAAAGAATTAAAAATAAAAATAAAAATAACCAAATTCTGCAAATATCACCAAC